CACACACACACACACACACACACACACACACACACACACACACACACACACACACACACACACACACACACACACACACACAAAAGTCAGTATACTCCATCAGTCCAGCTGACCTCAGGAACAGAGGGGAAAAAGGGATGGGGGAACATCACTAAAACCCAAATTGAAAATGTACAACAGCAACATCTTGTCAACACTTCTGCACAGAGCACAGGCACGACAGTGAAAACAGACAGTAGAGAAGATGGTTTTGACAGTCGGCATGCACAAATAATTCTCTTAGAGTCAGATGGCAGCAACAAGTTATTGCCTACAAGATATACTTGTCAACCAAACATCCATCCGTACAGAGCACCATCTGGCCAGGATGACTCCAGTTTCTGTATATTTGACACAACTCCGATCTTCAAAGACTAGGAAAAAGAAGTGGCCAACCTGAAACTTTCAAGACATCAAGCACTGTGCAGATTAAGACACTGTCCGGTCACTCAGGTACTCAAAACATTGCTACAAGAAGCTCATAACCAGGACATGAGCGCTCTCTCACTTGCGTCCCTTTGCGAGTGGTATTCAGAACCGTTCTACTCGTGATGCTGGGGGTGATATAACTAGTAGACACGGGCAGTCTTATTCTCCTTGAATTTCTTCTATTTATCCCTTAAAACCATTGAAGCTGGTGTCTACGATCAATTCTGTGATGATGAATTTCACAGTTCAGCTACTGACATGTGAAGACGTACGTACTTTCCATTATCTGTCCTAAATCACCTACCGGTTAACCTTTGCTTAGACCAGTGATGGTGAATTTTTGGGGGCTCGCGTGCCCAAACCGGGGGGGGAGGGAGAACAGGGGGCAGCGGAACTGGAAATGGTGGCAGAAGGAGGAATCCCGGGCACGGAGACCCCACTCCAGATCCACCACCAGCGACAGCTGCTCCAGATCCTGATTACTCCAGATCCACCGCCAGCGACAGCTGCTCCGGATCCTGACCCACCGCCTGTCAAAGCACCAGTACCGCAGTTGCAGCCGCCTGCTCAGGTTTGGCTGCCGGGGGGGAGCGATCTGGCAATTTATGGCTTGCGTGCCAGCAGAAAGGGCTCCACGTGCCAACTGTGGCATGCTTACCATAGGTTCGCCATCACTGACACTCATGGTTGCTCCAACAAACTGAAGCTACAGAGCTAAAAACAGGCAGTCAGGGGGGTGGAGTGGGGAGAAAAGCAAAAACACCTTTTGAGAGTCACCTGAACATCAACTAAAAAGGAATGTCCTTTAGAAAATAATTTCATACAGCTTGAATTGTTTCACCTTGCACTCAGGGAAACCCCCTGTCCAACAGATTAGAAGCTGCCATCCTTTACTCGAACATGAAGTGAAGGATGGCTAACTTTCTCATCAGGGTAACTGTATTAAATAAACAAGCCCATAGACAGAAACTTGTGGGGATTCTGGGAATCACTACAGAATTGGCTGAATATATAATACAACACGGGTAATATAATTAAAGTTATTTCTTTCGGCAAGCAGTTGGGTAAAAGACTGTGCTTTGGGCAAGCCGTTGGAAAATGAGAGGTTTTTCATTTAACTCCACAAGTAAACGAAATAAAACACCAGATTTTCTTGTTGATGTTTTAAATTAAAAATGAAAATCAGGGAGGCGTGTGGATTAATCCTAAGGCAGTCCCAGACAGGTCTTTTCCATGGACAATATAACACAGTGAGTTAATCTGGATGATTAACTAGATTTCTGTAGATGCTGCAGTGATTTATTACTTTTATGCAGCCAAATATTTCCCTTCGCTACATGTTAAAGACTAAAACTCCCAGAAGCCTTTTCACCACTAGCTGTGCTGGCCAGGCCATCTGAGAGCTGTCGTCCAAGAACATCTGGGGACCCAAGGTTGGGAAGCACTGTGTTAAGTGATGATTCTACATGTAGGGTATCTAGGGCTCATTTGGAAAAGATGTCCCATAATGATCCTTCTCCAGGTGGTTCTTCAACGGAAGTCTGTTTATTGGACAAGAATCAACCCTGAGGAATTGGTGAGCACTCCGAGTGCTGTGGAACATGAGATACTTGAAACGGGTGATTTCTGGCATTCATTGGATTGCCAATCCAATGTACATCCACATCAGTGAGAATAAGGGCTGTGAATACGTGGGCTGCCCCTCAGTTGTCCATTTTCAGAATGGCCATGTATTTGTACAGGAAAGAATGATTTTAACAAGCACCTACTCCCAGGAATCGGAGGTAATCTGCTAGTGTCATAGGGGATACTGGTTGTTATTCTGATGCAGTTGTCTACCTGCTGCTAAACACCCTGGAGCACTTAACTCCAACCTAACAAGAAGCACTCTTGCTCTCTTCAATGCTGGTGAGCCTTGGATTTCTTGGGGAAAGGTGGAAGAGTTCCTTCTAGCCATCTGTGACTCTGGCTCGTGAACAGTCACCCAAAGTGAGATTGGGGTGGTGAGAAGGATGGGTAGAGGGGCACTTCCATCCCCAATAGAAGCTGACCAGCATGTAATTCAGGATGGGATTAAACATGGGGTCTTCCGCATGCAAACCAAGTACTGTACGCAAATGCAGGCTTAGCTGTCTCCATGCCAAAATAAGAGACTCTAACCACTGCCTTTCAACCTCAACATTTTAGTACCACCCTGCATGCAAACCAAGTACACAAATGCAGGCTTAACTGTCTCCATGCCAAAAATAAGAGACTCTAACCACTGCCCTTTCAACCTCAACATTTTAGTACCACCCAAGTGAATAATGTACCACCTATGGATAAATCAAGAGTGGCGAAAGTTCCAGACTAGTGGTCAGCATATCACTGCCTCTTATAAAATGGAGACATGTTGGTTCCCTACTGTTGGTGTCATGCACTGCTTTTGGTCAAGCGTAACATACTTTGGAGAAAGCACCTACAACAACAGCAACACCAGTATACATTTCAAGGCCTTATCACAAGTGAACTAAGAAGCAATCCACCCTAGAAAATTACAACCCTCAATTTAACAGAAGACACACAAGATCCACAGAAGACACAGTTCTGCTTAGATGTCTCTTCACATCTGTTACATGCAAGACCATTGCAAATAATTAACAGAATTTTGCTGGCATTATAAAACTACACTGAACACTTCTGTTGTGCATGATCAGTGAGTCGACCTTTCTTCAGAAGGAGGTATAAATGTAATCTTAACTCGTAGCATTAGGGTATAAAACAGACACGTACCTTTTGCTTGAGCTCTTTCACAGCAGAGTCTCTATCCATACATGCCTGCCGAAAGGCTTCATATGCCTTGTTAAGCTGCTCTGCAATATTTTTATCCATACTTCCCAGCAATGTCTCATTACTGAAGAGATTATGATTGCAGCAGATCTGGTTAAATTACTGGAAAAAAGAGGAGGAAGGGAAAAGGATTGGTTGTAATACATCTATCTTCGCCAGGCAATCCCTCGATCCATGCATAGGTAATATGGGACCCTCCAGATGTCTTGTATTACAACTCCCATACTATCTGTCCATGGCCATATTGGCTGAAGCTTGTAAGAGGAATTCTTCAAAACAATTGGAGTGCACCAGGTTGCCTACTCCCACCCTACGCAGTCAATGATTGAATGTCACAGTAGCTGCGTACTCAACATTCTTATACTAGTACACTTCAGCCTACATCAGACCTGGCCAAAGTGCGGCCCTCCAGATGTTGCAGAACTGCAAATCCCAACATTCCTCACTGTGTGGGCTAGGCCCAACTCTCCTCGCTATTGGCTGTGTGGGCTAGGAATTATGGGAGTTGCAGCAGTTCAACAAAATCTAGAGGGCCACATTTTGCCCATCCCTGGCCTACATGAAGGAGCAGTTAACACAGGATATTATCTTAAGTCCCATGAGTGTCTACCTTGAGGTATAGAGAAGCAACTGCACGCTGGCAAATCTATTATGTACACAGTCTGGGTTGTTATCTTGCTCGTCCTTCAGCTCAGAGGGATAACTGGATGCACATCCTGACAAACCATCACTATCATAACCTCTCTTAGGATGCTTAGCGCTCTGAAGTGCAAGAAAAATGAGGATCTATTACTAGGGGATGTCTAAGAAGAGCACAGGGTTCACCCCAAAGAAGCAGCACCATGTTTTCTGTATTGGATAAATGCAGTTCTTTTTCCAACACCACAGAGCTAGCTAGTTCTCGACAGCTAAGAAGGCCTAAACGTTCCCCTACATCTTTCCATCGTTCCAAGAAGGATTGGAAAGAAAGCTTTAATGACTATAATGAATTATGCACAAGTTTATCAATGTTTTTGCCTAAAATATGATGAAGTATACATTGAGAATAATGGGTTGGGTCCACACTTTAGTCAAGAAAGAAGTTAGTCATGGCTCAAGTCCCATTGATTTTAATAGGCACTGACTTCAGTTAATTTAATTGAATCTAATCTACTGCTCTGTTCCAGTAGGTGCAAACAGGTAGTGTTCACTAGCTGAATAGTGCACTATCAATTTATGACAATGACTAACCAATAAAATATGTTTTTGAAAATAATTAATCACTTTTTAACTCCTGAACTATGAAATTTAATTTAACCATAATTTGCAGATTACAAAAGTTCTGCTTAGATGTCTCTATGAAATACCAAAATGAGGTTAGTCACAATTTAATAAACAAAGAAAAGCTGCTGATTATTGCCATATAGAAAAAAAATTCAATATATTTCCATCCAATGCTAGTAACACAACATTACAACTGTAACGGTAAAAAAAAGAAGCTGTGCACTAGAAGTAGCCCTTCACTGATTCACAACTAAAGCTTCAGTTATTAGCAGCCTGCAGCTCATCCAACAACACTAATGCAAGATGCGATAGTAACATTCTGGAGCAAGTACTCAAGCTGCCACAAAAAATTCCTCAAAAATGCAAGAGACTTCCTAGATCAATAGTTATGAACAAATATTACAATACACAGGAACATTCTTCATTCCCTGCTTAGACCAAAACTTTGCACAGTTCTTAGCCACAGATTTAATGCTAGCTGGAAAACCCAAACCAATTATCTTTTCTCAGATTTAATACCAAACAAACAAGAACAGCTTCCAGAACATAATTAATTAAACGTGACAAATTTCTAATTTAAACAGAGTCAACTTTGGCACCAACAGTCTTTTGCTTTTCTATTTATTCTCAAGGGAAAACTATTATTATTATTTAAGGAGGCTTTGCCCATTTCTACAAGCTTCAATATTGCCAATCCTTTGGAAAAAGGCACAGAATTTCAGTTGAGATGGCAGGATTGATAAAGGTTATTTTAACAGTGCGATCCAAAGCAGGTTTACTCAGAAGTAAGTCTACCAGTTTAGTCTCTAATAAATGTGCTCAGGACTGCAGTTTAAGAATCAACGCCATTCAAAGATACATAAGCTGCAGTTCTATACCTTTTATCCAGGAGGTAAGCCCGCTGTATGAGGGACTTACTTTTGAGCAGGCATGCAAAGCAGGGTACTGAAAGACTGCAATCCTATCACAGTTACCTGGAGGTAAAGCCAAATTATTTCAGTGGGATTTACCTCAGAATAAGCAGTTAGATCTACAGCTGGGCTGCAATCCCAAATCTAAATACAGTGGTGCCTCGCAAGACGAGCACCCCATTTAATGACAAAATCGCATGATGATGAACTTTTTGCGATTGCTAAAACAATCGCTTTACGATGGTTTCAATGGGGGAATTTCGCTTTGCGATGATCAGTGCCCTGCTTCGGGAACCGATTCTCGCAAAATGACGATTTTTGGCCAGCTGATCAGTGGTTTCAAAATGGCCGCTGGGTAAAAAAAATGGCTCCCCACTCTTTTCTGGGCAGGGAAAATGGCCACGCTATGGAGGATCTTCGCTGGACGGTGAGTTTCAAGCCCATAGGAACACATTAATCGGGTTTTAATGCGTTTCTATTGGCTTTTTAATTTCACATTATGTTTTCGTTCTACAGCGATTTAACGTCGTAATGCGAGGCACCACTGTACCTGTAAGCAAGTCCTGCCGTACAAAGTGTGACATCACTTTTGATTGCACAGCTGAAGGCGTCACCTGCCAAAGTGCAGCACAGTTGCTTTTCAACAGTAAAACATTTGTGATTTTGCACAAAATTGACAAGAACACCACACTTAATAGACTAACATTATTATCAGGCTTTTGTGAGGACATGAGGGAGGTAACTCTCTGCTAGTGTTCCCAAACTGTGGAACTCCCTCCCACATGAGGCTAGGCTGCCACTGCCACCCCCGACCCCCTCTGCTGTCGTTCTGCAGGCAAGCAAAGACCTTTCTCTTCAAGCAGGATTTCCCATTTTCCTGGCAGCTTAAGAGTTGGGTTGCGGTTTTTTGTTTGTTTTTCCTCTCCTCTTCAATGTTCTATTTTATATACACTTCAAAATACGGTAACAACCATGTTGCAGATAAAGCCCCATCATATATACAGATGACTGAACTTTTCTCAATCTACAGCCTAGATCTTTTCCATTCTTTTTTTTATGAACAGTGACCATTAGATTTTTTTTTAAAGGCCTATCTCCAACCCTAAGGTGGTTTGTTTTGCTCTAGGAAGTGAACAGCCACTTTGATCACCAAAAATGTCTTGATATGTGTGCTGTGTTTTCTGCATGCATATGCTGTGATGCGACTTTTACCCTTTTCCTGCAATTACTCAGAAGATGCCTATGCGATGTTTAGCAAATAGGTTGCAAGTTATGTCTTGCAAAAGTTAAAAATAAGAGAGTGTCAAGACTGGCTACAGCAAAGCCTACAACTTTGGTGTCCCAGCCACCAGTTGCAAGAGAAACCACTCAACAGATGTGAACAATGCCCAGATTGTAAAAACAATGTTTTTGTTTATCTTTTTTAAAGACACTATCCAGTAGATAGTTAACATCAGAACTGTTCCTTATGACTTCCTTTTTCAAAAGAGAACAGAACCAAAAACAGTATCTTCAGACATAATTCTGAAACAAGCTGTTTTGCAAGAGATTAAAGTTTCTTGCAACACACTGAAATGCAAACAAAACATTTTCAAAAGACATTTCTGCATTTTTAAAGTATTAATTGAGACAGCCTCTTTAATACTGTTGCACCAGGAAGGGGGCAAAAGTGACCTTGGATCACCACAGCAGTTTCTCTCTTTGCAGCTTTCCATATTTTACCTGAAAGACAGATTTCCTTAGTTTAAGAGAAGAAGGTCAACAGGTTCAGTTCCAGTCACTGCTTAAAGTCTCCCTGCTTCAAAGTTCTTAGAAAATTTCTCCTTGAGAGAATCTCTCTTTCATAGCTGTTTATAATGATCTTTAAAGTTAGCTTTGACCTCAACTGATGGTAGATGGTAATTCCCGTGTTTTTCCACTTATAAGATGGCCCCCACCCTTTTCTAACCCAAAAGCTAAGAAAACTTAGCTGTGAGTATTCAGCCTCTGGGCTCAGAACACTCGGACATTAGGAGTCCCTGTTGAAACTGAGTCTACAGGCTCCACCTCCAACAAGGTGTGTTCCAGCTGGTTTGTTCCGCATCAACTGACATCAGTCCCATAAGGCTCATGACTGGAGGAAGCTAAGCCGCCTGATTGAAGGAAGCCTGTTTACAGAGGCAAGGTACGGGCAGACTTGTCTTCTCCCTGTTGTCAGCTTTAAAAGGTAAAGGTTCCCCTTGACATTTTTAGTCCAGTCGTGTCCGACTTTAGGGGGCGGCGCTCATCCCGCTTTTCAAGCCATAGAGCCAGCGCCTGTCCGAAGACAGTTTTCCATTGTCACGTGGCCAGCGTGACTAGGGAACGCCGTTTTACCTTCCCACTGAGATGGTACCTATTTATCTACTCGCATTTACATGCTTTTGAACTGCTAGGTTGGTCAGGAGCTGGGACAAAGAGACGGGAGCTCACTCCGTCGCGTGGATTCGATCTTACGACTGCTGTTCTGGACCTGCAGCACAGGCTTCTGTGGTTTAGCCCACAGCGCCACCACATCCCTTACTTCCACATAAAAGACGTCCCTCAGTTTTTAATGTAATGAATTTAGGAAGAAGTAGTGTCTTGTACATGGAAAAACACAGTATGTATGGAACGCCAGATCTCTCTCTTAGCTGAACATAACTATTTCCACAACGAGTCTCTGCCTCTCCTGATATCCTGTTTCCCCAAAAATAAGACCTAGTATGATTTTCCAGGATGCTTGTCATAGAAGCCCTACCCCAAAAATAAGCCCCAGTTAAGTGAAACCCCACCCTCCACTAAATCTCTCTTAGCTGAGCATAACTATTTCCACAATGAGTCTCTGCCTCTCCTGATATCCTGTTTTCCCCAAAATAAGACCTAGTATGATTTTCCAGGATGCTCATAATATAAGCCCTACCCCAAAAATAAGCCCCAGTTAAGTGAAACCCCACCCTCCACTATTGTGTAGCAACATTAAAACAGGACTATATATGCATAAATGTAGATTGTTGTACATGAAAAAAAGTGTAGCAACTAGAAGAAGACAGGACTATATATGAATAAATGTAGATTGTTGTACATGAAAAAAAAAACCTCATTCCCTGAAAATAAGCCCTAATGCATTTTTTGGAGCAAAAATTAATATAAGACCCTGTCTTATTTTTGGCGAAACACGGTAGTAAATAATTGCTATTTATAAAGTACCAGCTACACTTTAAAACCAAGGAACTGTACAAAAGATATAAAAGGGAGGCCCTGCCCATTAAGTTTGCAATCTAATTTAATTTCAGAAGACACTCCACTAGATGGAAGCCTCCCTGGTGTTTGAGAGAAGGAAAAGTGGGATTAACTCAGACAATGGACGCAAGGAAGTGGGGTGAAGTGGCAGAGAAGAGAAAAGCATGCTTGTGCACTGTCCCCAAAAAGGATATAAATCAAAGGGGAGGCTGCTTGAAGGCAATAACCATCATCCCCACAGCAGGAAGCGGGAAGCCAGTATGCTATGGGAGGCAGAACAGGAGTGGAGAATCTTTTCAGCCCTCAATTTGCTCTGAGGGTTTTATTTCCTCAGAAGAAACTGGAGGGATGAGAGGTTGGAGCAGCATAGCTGACAGCAGTGGTACCTTAAGCCAAAGTGGATGAAGGCCACATTCTGGGAAAGCCTGCTTTTTTTGGACTGGCTGCGCACAGACAGCATGGCCAATGGTTAGCTGTCTCCCTTTTGGTTATCCTTCCACCAGCAGGCATCACACAGATACAGTATCTCGTGTCTAAACTGGGTTAGCAAAACCAACCTTGATTGGGTAGTTTTGCTTTCTTCTCCCTAGTGCATGTTTGTATTTTGATTCTTTTTATTTCATATTACGACACTGGAGTGCCCCGGTTGGCAGAAAGATAGGATATACATTTAATAAACAAATAATTCCCCCCTACATTTAGTATCTCCAAGGAAGGTGTCAGACTGTTAAAATAGATGTTTGCTTAAGCACATAAACTATTTTTCCTTCTATGTTTATGCTCTACTTGTGAGAATTTGGAGGGGGTGGATTTTCATGTTTAAATGTTTTATTTTGCATCCAAATGCTTGTTATTAGGGAATACTACCTCAGCAACAATTCTTGGTTGGGCATTGATGAATTTAACTCTGTCATAATAGCCTGATTCGGGTGTTATTTGCTCTGTTTTTATCCATAACATGAGCAAGGGAGTACCTACCCCAGATTTTTAATTAACTTGAACTGTAGGGGCTGTTACAGAATGTTGTATATCTTCATTACAGAATGCTGTATATCTTGAACTGAGCTGGGTATTTAATCATTTTTAAAGGGTGGCTTTAATACTGTTATTCATTTGATACTTTTAACATTTTTATATGCTACTGTGTTTTTAATTGTGTTTACTGTATGGTTTTAATTAATGGTGAGCTACCTTGTGTTCCTGTGGGGGAAAAGGGGCCATATAAATAAAAGAAAGTGAACTGAAATGGCCCACCTCAGTTTCCAGGGAAAAGTAATGCATCTACAGAGGACCAGATCCTGTTCACATGGAGGCTGTCCACTCAAGCAAGAAGATGGAGATCTAAATCAGTGGTTCTTAACCTTTGTTACTCGGATGCTTTTGAACTGCAACTCCCAGAAACCCCAGTCAGGACAGCTGGTGGTGAAGGCTTCTGGGAGTTGCAGTCCAAAACTCCTGAGTAACCCGAGGTTAAGAACCAGTGATCTAAATCACCTCTTTTCTGCAGCTGTTCCGTTTTACGAGAAAACTATAATGAAAGAAGCAAGGGGCTCATGTAATGGATTAAAACAGGGCAAGATATGTCTGAAGAGGGCAAGAATCTTGAGGGGCACTAGACCTAATGTCACAATACAAATACTCATCTCTTGCTGACCATATCTGAATATTGACTTAGATACAATAAATACATCCCCTATACCTTCTCCTCCTTTCTTTATGTACTTTCCAACAGCCACAACTCAATGACAGATGGCAAATCACTTTAAATATTTAAGAAAAGAATCCCTCTCAGTAAACATTTAACTTAAGACCCATCCTCTAGTCTTTCCTACTTCTTCCATGTCGCATGGCTGAGATCTATCAATAGAGACATATTATGTGGTTAAGCCAGCGAATACTTGCAGAGTCTCAGATGGACCTTATGGGTATGCTAAATTTTACTTTAGCAAAAGCCACCATTCACTCTTAGTCTAAAAGTTCATCTTTAACAT